ACAGGAAGGGGCGGGGCCTCAGGCGGAGGGGGCGGGGCATCAAGCGGAAGGGGCGTGGCCATATTTCCAGGTTCCCCACCTCCAGACAATGATTGGTCTGGGGATGAGGGAGTGCCTTTGCCCCTCCCCCCCATATTCTCGCTAGGTGCCCATGCCCCTGGCATGGGAGGAGACTTCCCACACTCTCCCTACCCCTAGGCCAAATAGGGACTGGGGGGCAGGGGAGCATGCAGAGCCGCCTCTGCTCGCCTCCTGCCCTACGAGCAGTGCCTACCACTTCCAAGTGCCACGTGCTCCTGGCAGGGCGGGAGGAGGCTTTGGGCACTCCCCTACCCCCTAATTGGCCTGGGGTGGGGGAGCAGTAGGGCTTCCATGAGCCGGATCCACCCACTTGGCAGGCCGGATCCGGCCCATGGAGGACATTTTGCCCACCCCTGCTCTTTGGAGAGGCTCTGGTCTCGAGCTAACGCAGCCTTTGGCGTTATCTTGGGGCGACGCGAGTGTGGAGTTTCCTTGGGAGCGGGGAGAGAGCCCGGTGTTTGCAGCTGGCTCCAACATTCCATTTTCAAGTCATGCAGGTGGGCCGACTGGTTGAAACAGCGATGGCCAACCTAAGCTAGGGAGTGGGCTGCATGGGTGGGTGGCCCTCCTCCATCTCAAGACTGCCGTACCTAAGACCATCTCCCGGTCTCACTGTGCTCGCGTCCCTAGAATGGGCGGGAACGAACCGTCACAGCGCTTCGATTGTAGGCAGAGGGAGCACATGGCAGTCACTGTTGAGTACAACCAGCATGTACCTGACGTCACATGCCCTGGCTTGACATGCCACTTCAATAACAGCGGTAGGGAAAAAAGCCACTTGGTCAGAAACCAGTAGAATCTGGCAACTCCATGCATGGGCAACTGTTAAAACATCTCGTGGGCCACAGAGAAACCCACTGGGGCTGTCTGTGGCTCTTGGCTCGTAGATGACTTGCCACCAGGCTAAAAATCTATTAACTCTAGCCTTGAAGACTCGGTGCCGTGCAGGAGCTAAGTTTTGTCAGACATCTATTCCATCCCTTCCCCATGGCTGGGAGCTTCCTGCAGCCTGGCACGGGACACAGCTCAGACACTTGGGCCAGGCTGGAAGCTTAGAGCAATTCAGGACTTTGCTCTATTTCTGGGAGCTCCCAAGAAGCTTAAGTGGGGTTAGGAGCTCAGCCTAAAGCAGAGAGCTGCTAGATTTTAGCTGAGGGCCTTTTCACCTTAAGCAGGGGGATCTATTGCTTAAGAACTAGATATATTTGTGGGGGGAGATCTGTCAATGTCTACCAACCAGGATGGTGTCCCTAGCCTCTATTTGTCAGAGGCTGGGAAAGGGAATGGAACGGATCACCTGGTGATTCCCTCTTCTGTTCTTCCCCAGATTTTGGGAGCTCTTCCATTAGAAAGTCTTTATTTTCTAATGGATTCCTGGCTTTTTTCCTTGATCCACAGCACATATGCCATGATTGGTGTAACCAGAAAACCCACACGTGTTTAACCCAAACTACAGTGCATGGGAGGAGGGGGAAGCAGTTCCCTCCTTAAACTGCATGACCTCTCTGTGCTTTAGTCAAACAATGAAACAAGCTCAACTGATTAAGTTCAGAGCACATGCAGAGGGCACCCAGCGCTTCAAAGGAATAGGCTGTACATGAGTAAGACCAGATACAATTAGAAATGGGGTACGGCCTCCCTACGGGCTGGGACAGACTGATGCTCTATCCTCAGCAGGGAGCTGCTGCTGTCACAGAGGGAGAAGTACCCCTCCTCCTGTCAGGCAGCTCCATGGGCAAGTTCTGAGCCACTGGCCGGCTGGGGTTCATTAAACAGCTGCAAGGCAGCGCTGCTGCACAGCTGAGAGGGAATCTACACCCCGCCCCATTCTACAGTCACCTCTAAGCTCAGTCACCTACATCCTGGTCCTGACAGGCCATTTGATCATTTACCTTTGAGGGCTGGGACCCTTGACTTTCCGGTCACTGATAAAGCACCTTGCCCATTCAGAGTGCCAAACAATATTGACCGGTGCTCAATAAGAATTACCTACTTGTCAAATATAAAGTGATCATAGCTGGTTCAGTAAACAATGGCCATTTAACCAAAAAGATAAATGTTACCCAACATCTAAAAAATGAAGTTAGTATAAAAAAAACCACAGACGCCTGTAATAAAATAAAAATATAGACCTTATTTATTGAATAAAACAAAAAGTGCATGATCCAGGTACCACACCAAATACACATACGTTTTTCACTGGGCAGATATACATACTGTGTACTGGCAATATACATATATGCAGGCACAAAAAAATGTCCACGTGATTAGATTTGATTTATTTACACACACGCTTTTCCTGGTCCCTAACTGTGCTGACAATCCAGAAATCAAACGACAGGTCTTACAGGTCATCCAGTCCAAAGCAACTCATCAGCCCTTCCATGGATGAGTAGCCCCAGGTAAATGCATCTTGCTCCCCACCCTGTTATTTTCCTTTACATGCAGGGGGAAAGGCCCAAAATTTAAGCTATTCCAAAAAATGTGAATAATGTCCTGATCACAAGAATCTACAAGCACCTCCAACATGAGGGCTTCAGCACTGATTATAGTCTGAATTCAGAGTTACTTGAACTGCCAGGTCAGCAGTTCATTCTAAACCCCAGCAACCAAATGCTGTTTTCATCTGGGGTACATTCAGGGATGCTCCTTTGACTTTGAACAGAGTTTCTACCCTGTGTAACAAGAGCAAATCGAAAGCAAATTTTGTCCTGGGTTTCAGCAGGGTTGATGGGCACATCATAGGCTCTTCCCCTCTGCTCTGCCATCGAAGAGCCTTTTCCTTCCCTTGACAGGAGAGGTGGTACCACACCAGAACCAGAGCCCCCCCAGCAGCGAAGAGGGACAGCATGAGACGTGTGTAAAATGAGACCAGTGGCTCCCAAAGCCGAGGTGGCCACTTCTGTAATATCCATTAAACACCATCAGACGGCCTGGGCAGTACCAACAAAACCGTTTCCCCCTCTTCTGAGCCAGCCGCGAGCTGGCAAGTTTCCGCGAGCTGTAATTCCGCGCTGGCCAAGCGCTCTGCTCGCAGCGCCCAGAACGGCACCGTGTCGTACCAGCACCAGGCGACCGACAGCGGCAGCTTTTAAATGGCAGGGGCTGGGGGCCAAAGAGGCCATCAGACGGCCTGGGCAGTACCAACAAAACCGTTTCCCCCTCTTCTGAGCCAGCCGCGAGCTGGCAAGTTTCCGCGAGCTGTAATTCCGCGCTGGCCAAGCGCTCTGCTCGCAGCGCCCAGAACGGCACCGTGTCGTACCAGCACCAGGCGACCGACAGCGGCAGCTTTTAAATGGCAGGGGCTGGGGGCCAAAGAGGATGCATGCGATCAGTGATTTCCCCCCCCCCCCCCCCGGGCACCGGAACGCGGACAGGGGGGGGGGGGGGG